GTATATATACTTTTTAAGTCATGTATCATGCATAGGAACGTTGACGCCTGCAAGGCTCTGGTTATTCCTATGCATTTTAGTAATTATTTTTAAGTTTCATCGGTACTAGAGCCACGCACGTAATTACATCAAAAGATACCCATTTCGCTAGGTCTATAACAAACTCGCCCGACATTATATTCAATGATAGTACTATGTGTTTGCATGCACTACTTTACTTATTTCGACATGCGTATATAACGCTCTAAATACTTCTGCGTTCCATACACGCAGATACGCGGATCTTACTAAATGTAATTGTTGTTTGTTTTAATTTTTAATGATCTAAATGATTATCCATGCTCAATTATATGTTGTTTTATTTATATATTTTTATATTCTATTTTAACATGATACCAAACCATTAAATGACACTAATGCCTTTAGCTTCTTGTAAACATAATACAAGAAAAAGCGACATACTGTATAGGGAAGGAAGACGTAGGTCTACCCGGTAATAAGGACGGACTCCTCCTATCTCACGATAACGAAGAAATGAACTTTTACGTGTTTTTACATTGTTAATCAAAGACTGCAATAAGCAGACAGAAAATCAAATACAGTACTAGGCCTATTTTTGATATGACATCTAGGCCTATCAAAAATTTGTCGTCTAATTTTTTGAAAGTCCACTTTGTAGTGATTATAATATTGAAACAAATGATCAAACAGTTGATATCAAACACTCTCAACAAGTATTTTATTGTAGGCTATTTACAAAAGGATAGTAATGGATAACAACAGAAACATCTTGTGACGCTACTTCTTTTCACATATTATTACCCCCTTCTATAAATGAGCCTAAAAAAATACATAGTCTTTGTGAAAATGGGGCTGATACCTTAATCTATAATTACAGGACTGATAAAGATCATGTAAGATAGATAGGCCTATGTATATCATTAACACACACACACATAATATGTGGCAATACATTATGTTTTAATGTAAATATTTTGCCTTTCTTGGGGGAGCGTAATTTAGGAATCGCGTGAAGTACAAGGGTCAAACTCATTATTGGTATACAAATAGTAGACACATCGATAATTACACCTATGTACATTAAGCGATAATTAATTATATCGAGAATCTTAAAAAAATGTATTTCCTGACATCTAATCATTTTTAACATACAAATTTAATCCATAACTGATATGACATCACATGATACATTTGTAAATTATTAGCTTTCAACTATATATAAACTTTGTATCGTTACAAACCGCTTCGAACTGCTCCTTGCCTATGGTTCGATTGGTAGAACCAACTTTTATTATTTTATGGACTTTAAATGGCAGTCCAGTGTACACACCTGACTTGTGTGCACTTTAAAGAACCCATTGCATCTTTAGAAAGAGATAGAGGTTACCCTGTTGCTATGGTTCATTTTATCGCCTGTCGTAGAATTATATGAACATTACATCACGGACTAAGATCATACGCAATTCAGCACAATGACGCTGCGAGTTATGAGTTATTCTTCTACCTTTACCTTTTTATGCATTAACAATACTGAATTAATCTATAGTAAACATCCCCCAGTACACTATCTAGGTTTTGGTTGGTCCCGATTTAATTGATTAATATTAAAGTGAACTATTGTACAATTTATTACTTTTTGACGAATCCATATTACTGTACCATCTTGGAGGCCAGATTTCGGGCTCGGAATATTGAATTATAATGTATTATTTTACAGATGCAGATACGTAGTATAATAATATATAGGCCTACTGTTTTCATCGAACTTTTACTAAATTACAGTATTCTAAAAAAAAACCCCAACATTTCAAAGAGAGCGTTAGGAGACATCATGCCGGACCTTTGTAGAACAGCAATTAGCTGTTCAAAATATATTTTTGTAGGAAGGAAATTTACATATTGGTTCCCACCACCCCGATCTTAGTATATCACTCCTGACCCAAACCTCTGGCATATGATGTTTCCTTAAGGTCAATATATGAATTTGTAGGCGCTCTTTAGTAGCGCGCTGGCATAAACTGATAAAACCGCTCTAAAAAACACCTTAAAGCACCCTTTTTTAACGCCTTTTCTACCATAACTTTGGAACTGCTCATCAGATCAATTTCCTCATGTTTTTAAATAGAAGATCTATCATCTTTCTAATGAGATGAAATGAAACAAGATAGATTTATATTTTATCCTGTCACTTTTCGATTAAAAGTAGGCAACTACATTGGATTTCCAGCGTCGAAAGCAGATTTTTTACCTTTCGCGGCTCATGTTACCAAATTCTAATCAGAATAACTTGCAAAGTATTTGACCAATCAGTTTCTTTCTCTCTGTAAGTTGATCTTTATTCTTTCTGCCATACTTGTTGTAAAAATGCTTGTGATTAGTCAATATTTAGCCCTGTTACTTTTGGAAACCAATAGAACCAAGCCTTCCAAACACCATTGACTGTATTGTATACATACGCTTGTTTACAGCGTAATCACTTTTCTCCGGCGACTGATGCGAAGACTGGAGTGTGCCTGGTGTTTTTTTGATAAGTTCGACCCTTTCTATTACTCTTTTTACTTGACATGAAATATATGAATGGAAAGCTTATGATTAGTAGATTCTCATCATGTAAATATAATTAGGTTTGCAGTTATAATTTTGCTTCCCTCAAAATTCACATGTTACAGTGAAATGAATGAATGCAAGCGTTCGCCAGTTCACTACGTAGCCTACATCACGTGCTGAACTCGCACAGGAAATATTGAAAGACTGGAGTGTGCCTGGTGTTTGTTTGATAAGTTAGACCCTTTCTATTGCTCTTTTTACTTCATGAAATATATGAATGGAAAGCTTATGATTAGTAGATTCTCATCATGTAAATATAATTAGGTTTGCAGTTATAATTTTGCTTCCCTCAAAATTCACATGTTACGTGAAATGAATGCAAGTGTTCGCCGGTTCACTACGTAGCCTACATCACGCACTGAACTCGCACAAGAAACATTGAATGATACGCGGTGGAAAGCAAGAATTAATCTGTTCTGTTAGGTGCTGTTTTTGGCTCTTACAAGGGGACATTTCTGCTAAGTTCCGCCCCTTGGATATTGTTGCTAACATCCGACAAGACAACAATGGCCGTATTCGACTGGTCGTTCTTCGTTAAACCACGCCCACCTGCGCAGCAGCGGTATAATCCTACTTAACGAAGACGAACAGTGGAATCGAAAACTGGTAAATACTCGACAAAACACAAATAATGGCTGCATACTGCAGTTATTGTGATACAAGCTGCATACTCAAGGGTGCCTCAGATTGTGGCAGTATGGGTTTTTCGTAAAAAAATGTTTTCATCCAGTTTTTGAATTCTGTTAGCCTACAATTATTTTTTTTTTACTTCATTGTTGCTAAACTGAGCAATCGGCCATTTTTTGGTCACGTGCATATAAATGCATTCTGATTACGTTAATTTTCGTTGTCAACGAAGTCTATTTTACGAACCAATTGAATGAAAATACTGCTCAACGAAAATTTGTACTCAACGAAATGAACCAGTCGAATAACCCAAGTTTTAAATACCTCCATGGTTAAAAAAATACACAAACACATGCGTTTGTGGGACAACACGTGTGTTTGTAAGACGCGTGCGTATTCCTAGTGCTATTCTGGTAGTCAGAGATTGATTGACACACTGGAAAGGGCTATTGTAATTTAACGGTAGCTGATTTTTATGAAATAAAAAAACCTTTTTTTTTCTCTGTCCGTTACCCTGCCTTTTCCCCTGCTTTTCAGTGTGACCATGCGACCAGGTGTTGTATTTTTGAATGTTTTATTCTTTTTAGTTCCTATGCATGTAATGCAATTGGAACTATTGTATTATCACTCTTCACTGTTTTTCCTTTGTTTTTTATTGTGTGTAGTATGTGTGTGCGCGTGTGTGTAGACATTTATGCAAATGCGCATGCGTCAAAGAAAAGTTTTCCGACATTTTGTTTTACCTCGCGATGCAAAGTTCGATGTGAAGTTTCTGCAGAGTCCAGTCAGGGCTCACGCTAACCGATCGGTAAGTCGGCATGGATGAAACTATTTTGGTTTTACGGCAAAAAAAATCAACTGCTGTGTGGCATAGGTATTTTGAAGAAGGCCTAAAATAAAACAAAAAGGTTTTAATACTTGCTGAAATACATCGTTTTTTCATTTAGATCTCCATTTTTCACTAACTCCATGCAACGTTTTTTTCTGTTGTATGAGTAGTCATATTTTTCCACATTTCAATAATTAACATGAAATGCACAACATAACATGAAATGCACAAATATTAATATGTCGTCTTTGTTGCCGTTGTTAAATTGGGTAAGTTAATTCACTAGCAGTAGCAGATAAATAATAAAATTTAGAACTGCTTAAAGATCATTATTATTTGTACTGTAAATAGGAACTGTGATTTATCACTTGTAAGTCATTGCTTTCCATCAGGGAATTGTTAAGTTGTTCATATCATCTTCAAAACATGTGGTGTGTGAAATAATGTAGTCATGGAATTTTTAATATTCAACTTAGGTATCATAAAACATAATTTTACTATTGACTTGTGGTGTATATTAGGTTCTTAAAATATGCAAATATTTATGAATGATATTAACAATACATTTGAGGTACTATAGTGTGTTTATAATTTAAGAACTCAAAACTATAGATTTGTAGTGGAAGGGAATTTTTATGAATTATTTTTTTAATTTTTATTTATTCAGGTATATGGAAAAAAGTACAAAAAGCAGAACAAAAAAATTTAAGCAAACCAAATACATACATCAAATCCATTCAAACAAGCAAAAAAATTACAGACAACATCAAAATTAATAAACATCAAAAATTGGCTACAAATAAAACTTTAAAATACAAATTAATTAAACATTTAAAAAATATATTCTTACAGTATCAAAATATATATTTATAATTACATCATTTTAAAAATATAAACGTCTTTTTCATTAATAATAATAATAATAATACTTATTCGGCATAAAAGAACAATTTAGCCAGGATGCGAGAATAGGTGAAAGCCCAAACAATCGATGTACTCGCTCCATAGAACACAAAATAAAAATAACAAATTTAAACTTAGATACTAAAAATTTTAATTGAAATTAGTTAATTAATACATTGAAAGAAGATGTTTTGTAAGAGCAGACTTAAATAATGAAATTGATTGATAATTTTGAATTTCTATTGGTACTTGTTCCCATAGTCGTGGGAATACAACATAAACAGAATTCCAATGCATAAGTCTACCTTATACAATTGTACTAAAATGATCCTATTCATTGTAAACATTGACACACAACAATATTATGTCAATACATGTTCTATCGATCTGCTTAGGGTGCTAAACATAGACCAAATCGATTCTACAGAACATATTAAATTTTCCTACCAGCTACATTTATTCAAAAGGAAATGAATATCAATAAATTGCCTTGCCCAAGGACACAGTGAAATTAATAGCATACATTGTAAATGGGAAAAAAATAAAATGTTTCCTTTGAGAACTGGAACCAATTTTCTTATTGATTCCATCATAACTAGTTCCATCATCAAATGTACTAGTCCTATAATGACAGCCACTAAACCCATCATCAAATCCACTAATCGCATCATCAAATACACTAGTCCTATCATGATAGCCACTAGTCCCATCATCAAACACACTAGTCCTATCATGATATCCACTAGTCCATTCATCAAATGTACTAGTCCTATTATGATAGCCACTAGTCCCATCATCAAATGCACTACTGTAGTCCTATCATGATATCCACTAGTCTTATCATTAAATGCACTAGTCCTATCACGATATCTACTAATCCTATCATCAAATGCACTAGTCCCATTATGATATCTACTATAGTCCCATTATCAAATGATATTCACTAGGCCCCTACTGTAGTTCCATCATCAAATTCCTTAGTCCCATTATAACTAGTCCTAACATGGCATCCACTAGTCCCATCTTCAAATCCACTTGTGCCATCTTTAAATCCTGTAGTCCAATCATTAAATCAGCTAGTCTCATCAAATCCTCTAGCCCCATCTTTAAATCTACTAGTCCCATCTTCAAATCCAGTAGTTCTATCTTCAAATTTACTAGTCCCATCTTCATATCTCTTTAGTAGTATCATCATCCAATCTGCTTGTCACACCATCAAATCTCCTCGTCTCATCAAATCCACTAGTCGCATTATCAAAATCATTCAATTCATCATCGGCCGCTTGTCCCATTATCATTTTATTTGTAAAGTATGTACTGTACTAGTAATTGTCAGCCTGATAGTATGGGACATAGAATTTCTATTGTTTATATTTATTTCAGTATGACTATGAAACCATTAATCAACAAAATCACTGACAATTACAAAATACAGTATGCTCCATCATGAAGAACTAAAGCAAAATAATTTTTTTTATAAAATTATTCAAAAGAATCAGGTAGCCATGATTTATAACAAGCCTGTCCCTCAAGGCTGATGTAGTACATGATTTGAATTTTAGATTGGTTATGATGTATCAAGTTAAATATTCTCATTCTCAGTTCTTGCTTGAGTAATGTTTGAATAATTGTAGAATTCTATCATTAAAAATCTGAGTTTTGTTAGATTAAAGGCAAGACTTTTTTTATACTTTGTTTAGCAAACCTCCAACTGCCAAAAATTTTACTTTTGGTCAGTTAGCGCATCCTCCACCATGAAAAAGGGAATTTAATTTTAAAAAATAAAATTTTATATTTATTTTTATTATGCCCTCCACTCCCCTGAAATATCCGAAAATAAGATTTCTTCCTTTTATATGAATTTATAGCATTTATCAATCTAATTACTACACTGTTTAATTCATTATTAAAATGTTCTTTTTATTTTCATCTCAGCCTAGATGGTTTTGGCAAAATCATTTTGCTAAATGAGAAAAAATGTTATTCTAATTTTTTTCTGCCCTCCTCTGACGACCTTAAAAAATCATCCTCATCTAACTCTGCATGAAAGCAATCATCATGTTAATATTTTAGCTACCTGTAATATATTGGAAACAAATGTTTACTATGTTGTACAACTGATTTGAAGACACAAGGCATATTTAATGAAAACTTTAGTATTTGAGTATTTAAAAAACCTTTTTCTTTGTTCTTAAATATTGAAAATTCTGTATCTTACAATTCATTCCCGAGTTTTTGTCAAATATGTTTTTTGTGTCTTGGAAAGATCAGTTGTTATAAAACATATCAAACAATGTAATTGATAAAATGTTGAACAATGTTTTAAAATGTTATGATGATGAATAAAAATTAAATGAAACTAACTACAAAAATAAAATACTCTACCTGTTTTTACATTTATTATATTCCCGACTTGACTACCTGTCTCTTATACACATCTAGATGTGTATAAGAGAGAAGTGTTCTAATATAGACAATGGGTCGTGTCTCATATTATTTGTTATGTTTTTATTATTCATTATTTTCACTTGACTCGCATAAATAATTTTGTTCGAGGAACATTTATATGCAGTTGTACTTCGCAGCACTTCACTTGCAATTTGCAATTTCTAGTATATTTTTTTATTTTATTGTTTGCAGGGTTATTAGAATCGGCATATTTGTGGATGACAGTTTTTTTGTTTAAACGAACGTTAAAACGTTTGCCTATAGGCCTACTTGGCAGCCTCTACCAACTTCATTTTATTGTATTTTTGTTAAGTAGTAGTAGTAGTAAAACTTTATTTTACGAAGCACAAATCAACAAATACATGCCTTTTTTCATCATGGCCATGAGAAACCTTACAATTAAATAAATTACACATTACGGTACATATCATCACAAAAAGCAAAAGTTACACGCAGAAAAAAATGATAAAGATACATAACATCATTAAAATACTTACAAAGATAGCAAAATGTATAAGGCCTATATGAATGCAAAAAGTCTAGAAATAAGATAAGAAACAAAATAATCTGTACCTAACAATGGCAAAAATAAATTATGGGAATGGAGAAATACTGAAGCTACAAAAAAGAAAGGGAAAATATAAAAAAAAAAAAGAAAACAAAGCAAGAAAACCAATAAATAGTGATTTAAACAGTGTTCATAATAATATACTTTAGTTTCATTCATCACTCTTAAGATCTTTAAAGATTTAAAAATAAAATAAAAACGTGCAATATAATAGTGATATGTTTAGACAGGTGTAGATCTGAACTCATCTCCTTGGCAGCCTGAGTGAACCCTGTCCGATGTGAACTCGCGTCCCTGACAACAAAGGTGTTAAACAACAGACACTTAAAGTGTCAGTTTGTTTTTTAATTGAAGCTTTAAAAATATATTTTTGCCTCAAAAAATGCCTACAAAAATACTATTCAAATAGTTACATCTCGGTCGTTCCGTGGCAAAACAACATAAGTTGAAATTTTTACTTTTGAAGAAAAATAGAGTTAAAGTTTGCATGAGGTTGTTTTGCCTCGGAAACATGTCAGACTCAGTATTGATGCAAGTAAGACATATTTTTGGAATTTATCACGTTTGGGGCAATCATTTGCATTAGCTAGCTTTTTTGATATGTCGCTGTTAAGATTATTGATATAAAAACACAAATAAAAACACCAATAACCATTTGATTTTGCCTTGCCAAACTCCATTAGCTCAAGAAAAATTTTTGAATACCATTCCGAGGCAAAACAATGTATCTTCATGGTAGATAGGTTGTTTTGCCCCGTAATCTTGTAGTTGCGTTGTTTTGCCACGGAAAACCACTAGATTTTAAGTTTTTTGCTTAAAGATAGGTGGTGTTATATCTGAAACAACACATTATTGAGACCTGAAATTTTCACAGGTAATTCAGACATGTTTAATATACTCCCAGATGATATTATCTGAAAATCGACAAAAACGTCAGTTACGTTGTTTTGCCTCGGGACGGCTGATCTGGTTTGCTTATTATTAACATTCATTGTGTTTTGTTTATTTAACTATTAAAACAGTTCTACTTCAAAAATATTTTTGAATTGTATCTAACTTATTTTTCACAAATAAACTTCAGTTTTAATAAAAATACATAATTACAAATTCAGACATTCTAAGAGTATTAAAAAAAAGTATATTTTAAATATATTTTTTAATATGAGTATATTTTCTGAGTTGTTACTGTTCAGCCCAACTGAGTTTTCTTGCATTTGTAGAAAAATTAATTTGTATGTATGATTTCTGAAGTTGTTTGTAATTTTAGGCTACCTTGCGATCGCAGAAATCGCTACTCAATACCGACCACGTGCTCTGCCGTTGGGCTCCACTTAAGAAAATGAGTTCTACATAACAGAACAAGTAACAGGATCTTGTATTAACGGATTTCAGTTATTTCATTTTAGTATCACACAAATATATGCTTAAAGTAGATTCTTAACATTGATCAAATCCCCGGGTTTAACAAGGGAAACTAGACAAACATACAACCCTAAAGAAATCATCATTGTGATATAGAGGTTGTGAATAATATTAATTACTTAATTCAAGAGCTATTTAATACATTAATTTTTTTTCTTTGATATAAACACTGAATACAAATTGGATTGTTAAATTTAGATAGATTGTCAGGCTTAAAGATTCTATTGATTGATTGCCTGACTCCATTTATGAACTATATGAAAGTATTGTCTGGCTTTTTAAATAGATTATTGTGGTGAATGTGGGTAGATTGTACAAAACATGGATTAGTATGTTAATTATGCTCTTTTAAAGGATTTGATTGTATACAGTACCACCATGAGATAGATTGTAGTAAATGTGAATGGATGATGATACATTGTAAAAAAAAAAAATAAAATAAGAAAAGTAGACAAAACAAATTAATGTTAGGGTAAAGTAAAGTACAAACCAAGCCTTGTAAAAGCCAAACAATCACTTTCAGCTTTCCTGTCTACTGGCGTAAGTTTTGGTGTATATTACTATATTATTATTATTATTATTACAAATCTTCCATAGTGGCATACAATCTCTCCATGGCAGGGGTGTAGCTGCAGAAAAAACTAAGGGTGGGTGGGTAATAACATTGGTAAACTTTAAATATTAAAAAAAAGACTAAATTTTGATTTTCGGTTCTAACAAAATTTTACCAAAATTCTCAAATATTGCATTATCCTATAATGGAAAATCTATTGACAGAGTTGATTCATTCAAATATCTTGGAGTTGTATTCGATCATAAATTAACATGGTCTGAACAATTTGAAAAATTAACAAGCAATATTTCTAAACGAATTGGGGTTATCCGACGTGTTTGCCCCATGCTGGTTAATGCTCTGGTAATGCCCCTTTTAGATTATTGCAGTTGTGTGTGGTCCAACTGTAATATTTATCTCTCCAATTCCCTTTAAGTTCTTGTAAATAGATTGGGAAGAATTTTACTGTCTGCTGACATAAAAACTCCAATTGTTGATATATTAAATGCATTAGAATCAAGTAAACTTAGTGAAAAATGGGAACAACGATTACTTATAATGATTTTTAAGAGTTTAAATGACTGATGCTCCATGTTACCTATCACATAATTTCATGTTTAATGACTGCACCTACATTGTACTAGAAGTTGAAGTAAAAATACTCTATAGAACAGTCGTGACAAATGCGAAAAGAAACTTTTCTAAACTGGTACGTCACTTAGGCCCTCCAACATGGCATCAGAGGCCTCACTTTTTTCTGTACCAGGATTGGCCGATGAGCAATCCAGCTATTATAGTAGAGATCAGTGGTGTGAACAGTTATCTGAATGTAGGAGGGAATGAACAACAGATTAATTCTATGAGTCAAGTTTGATTGATATGCAAATTAAAAGGGGAAAATAAACTACATGATTTACATTACAATCCTTGATGAAATTTGCTTTATTTGGCTCAGAAAATATTAAATACCTCCATGTTACTTTTGACTCCATTACATCATAATAAAATCTAGAATTATGATTTTGTATTCCAAATTGTTACTGAAGATACAAACAACAGTGTAAGCATGTGTTAGATTCGATTGACACTCCAGAAATCGATAGAAATAATTGCAATAGGTAGAAATAATTTCCAATTTTATGAACCATTTTAAAAATATACGGTACTGCATGGTGCAAGTTATTATATTGGGTTTTTTGGAAGAGCTAATACCACGCTTAAATACGGTACAGGCAATGCCTTAGCCAGCTATTGGAACAGTTGGGATAGTCCCACACAATTTTCCTAATGGGTCCACAAAGAATGGGTCCACATTTTTAAAAATGGGTCCAAATTATGTAATTTTATGCATAAAATGGGTCCACTGTTTGAAAAATGGGTCCAGATTGCTCATATTTAGCTTAAAATGAGTAAAATATAAGGAAATGGGTCCAAATTTTTCATATATTTGCGTAAAATGTTGTTTTTAATCAATTTATAAATTCAAATATTGTTTGAATTTATGCGTAAACTGGGTCCACCTTGATAGTGTCTCGCACTGTTTGAAAATCCTGGCTACGGCATTGGGTACAGGCGCAAGTTATTATATTGGGTTTTTTGGAAGAGCTAATAAGATAGACATTTTTTAATAATTAGAATGTTTATTTGTACAAAAAATAAATATTATGTTCATTTGTACAAAATTAAAATATCTTAAAATTCAAAAATATAAAACTTCTTAAAATTGGAAAAAATACCAAGACGCGCTTCGAACTCACAACCTTAACATCCTTAACTGACCGTGCCATCCATGCGACGTGCACTATAGTGGAAATGGTAGTGATGTACAGTCCTTGCTGAAACCCCTGTTTAGTTTTGTAGGTCTAGGGGAACCCTGGGGTCCAACTTCAAAAAAGGGGCGATGAACGTTGGTTGGAAATCACCTCTAGTTTATGTGTACAAAATTTCCTGCACGTCCGTTCAAACCTGGCGACGCTGGTAACAAGAACAGCAGTGAGGCTCTGGGGTCCGCACCTTGCGCGGACCCAAAAAAGAGGTCCGCTTGACAATGAGATGCTTGCTCTGTAGCATTATGTGAGCTGTTAGCACCTGTACTAAAAACTGAAAAATGCCCAATTAACAACCAGATTTTTGAAAAATAACATAGGCATATTTGTTGGTTGTTAAATAATAAATGTTATAAATATTTTCAATGAAATTAAAGCTAAATATTATTGAATGAATATATTTTTAATGTAGTCTTAGTGTCATAGTATATGGAAAACACTCAAAGATTTAATAAATAATTCAACAAGATCTAATGAGTAATTAGTTTCCAATTACCATATACAAAACTTTATATATCAGTTTTCATTAATTTATTTAAAAAGATTCTGAAATGTTTCTTAAGTATCTAATTTAAAGGAGTAGTTTACTAATTTAATGTAATTTGAGAACTGATTTGACATTCTCAGTTTCACAAAATATCCCATTTTTTGAAATTACAAATCCAGGATGGAGCGATGCCCCTGCAATGTTATCACAAATCTAGTTTAGAGCATCTACGCAATGAAGGCACAAAAGATTTGTAATTTTTAAATGGGATAGTATGTGACTGAGTATGCTACATCAGTTCTCAAATTATATAAAATTGGAAAACTTCTCCTTGCAAAAAATATAGGAATATTTAAACATTTTTAAATGGCAAGGAAATGTTCTCTTATTTGAATTTTTAATGGAAAACTAATATTTTATTTTAATATGTGTTTGTATAGTATTTTGTTATATCAATCATCATATCAAAACATTTACACAAAGGATGGGAAGAAGTGCAGCTGACAGTCAGAAGCATTTTTTAGAAATTTGTTTTTGACTCCATTATTATAGTTCAACCACTATTGGAATATTTGTACAGATTAAATTTTGTGCTAGAGGTATTTAGATAAATTTAAAAGATAAGATAAATAATTATTCTCTATTTCAGCAAAGGCCATGTAACCAGTCTTACATCATTTGAATTCATTCAATATTTTATTTATGTGCCAACTGTAATACTAATACTCTAATATAAAAATGCTTTTGAAACGTTTAATATAAAAGGTAAATATTTGGCATAGTTGGTGAATAGATATCAGATATTTCAGTTCAGGTAGGATTTAATGTTCAATAATTTAACGTATAATTGCAGTGAAAGATTCTGAGAGTGGCAAAAGTGAGTGAAAACCCTTCTATAAAAACATGTGCCACCGTCTCTGAGAAAAAAAAATTGTACTGAAGTATCGCCTCATATCACCTTTTTTTGTGCCAGCTAGCTCTCCTTCACTAAATCCTCAAGCCCCACCCCACTTATCCCCAACCCTTTCCCATCAGTTCCCCATGTCAATATGCCTTAATATGATACTACCTTTGTAAAGGATTTTCTTTTCAGAAAAAAATAATTCACCACCACATGGTAACACATACACTCTTGATTAAGCGCTGCTGCGCTTATTCGAGAGCAGCGCTTAGCTATAAAAATCGGGTTTGGTGTGGCGCTTATTTTCAAAAATTTTCAGGCATCTTCTTGACTTATGAAATTGCATTGCGTTCGAAAAATGAGGGGACCAACACTCCCCATTAAAATACACGTTTCTAAATTCATGATCTGAGCCCATGAGCACACGGGTCCTAAAATGGTAGGTCTATAATTTTTTTTGCTTGGCAGTCCAAAGGGAGGGGGGGGGTGGGGAGAGGGAGGTTTAGGACCCCAACCCCGACCCAGCCTCGATCTCGCTATACAACTTTTTACACAAATCTATCGCTTGCCATCCCAAAACCAGTATCAGTAACCAAAAAATTAAAATTGACTTTAATATATTCTTATTTATTTATAAGAATATTTACACATATTTTCATCCAAAACGGAACCATCAAACAATGGAGTGACGGTGGGCCACTCTTAAATCGCTTTGGGAAAACAGCTCTCTCTTTGAAAAGCGATCGTCTCAGACTGATCAGTTGCTTTTCAAAGAGACCTCTACAAGCTTAGTAAGCTTGTATTCAGACCCTTTTGTTCAATGCCCATGAATCACACTGTAGTGGTCCATTCATCTCAAATTGTTTACAACCTGTTTTACATGTATTTGCACTGTGAGTATATTCAAGATTTTTCTAAAAAAAAAGTTTTTGTTGGATTAAAACAGCTTCACGTTTAAAAAACAAAAGTGGTGTAAGGCCTCTCTATATTTGCAAAATAAATATAAAAAATAGATTCCCCTTTTAAATTGTTTTCATCCTTAAAGTTGAATACAAAGTAATTGTTGGCTGCTTGTTTTTGGTACCTCTTTATTACTATACCTGGTGTCGAATTCCATTATTACCATTGACAAACTTTTATATCAGTTATCTCTGGGTATATATACTTGCCAGTAGTAAATTTCAACGAATGTATCATATAGCTAATTATAAGTGAAGTTTAGTTTTTATCATCTGAAACAAAATACAAAGAATAGAGTGAAGTGTAGCGCTTGAAAACTCCATTCAAGACATATGGTTTTATTCTATAACAGTATTCGTAAACATATATATACAAAGTATTTGGCATATCCTAAGGTTGGTTATTGATTTATGCATTTTTTAGACATTTAAATGGCTTTTACATGGATGGAAATTGTTTGTGGTGAGTATTGGTAGAAATTTCTTAGGCAATATCCATAAAACAAATTAATACATTTTGTTATGCGTGTGAATCTTGTATTAGGCAATAATGATTTACAAATAGGAATTAACAGTAATAAAATGAACACCCCGGGCTGCAATGAAACATGTGCTAGATTATCGCCTTTAAAAATTATGTCTGAACACAGCTCTAGGGTTTGAATGATTTATGACTGAAAAAAAAAAATGTTTTCATCTTAGATTGTTTTGATATTAGAGG